TGGCAAAAAGTACAAAAATCAGAAAAAGAACGGAACTTGGATAACAATTTTTATTTGTATTATATAAGTATTCCATGAATCTTCCACAACAACCAAGCATCGCGAACCGTCGAAGCGAAGCTTCGTTGGATAACGAGGAATTTTGTTGCGCTAACGAAAATTTCTAAATAAAGAACGGCGGTCGGATAATGATCGACGATTTATAAAAGTGGAGCAGTGCTGTTATAAATGAAAAAAAGAAATGGAAGAAGCGAATGTATAAAGTGCATATTGTACGCGATTAACAGGATCGCGTTAATTCCGTTGTGTTTGGAAACGCAGCCAAGTTACGGATGGAATCATTTTAGTTCCAATGAGTGAACTTCCGCGCGGTTTCTTTCGCTGCGCTCGCGTCGGAAGCGAGAAACGGTCAAGAGGACGTTGAGACATCGATGGCGCTCGGATAGCGGTATCGAGTGGAGTTTAGCGCGGAATCCGTGGCACAGAAACTGGCCTTATGTTCGATCGGTCACGTCGAACAAAAAATATGGGCACAGCTACCGGCGGGACCGCGAGATACATATTGATGACTAGACTGTCCATTTTATGCATTTATGGCGTGTACCAATTCGTATGGTATAACATATACATGTATGTCTTCGAATCTGTGGATTGTATGTATCGACGCCCGAAATACTGAACACGTTGATCGCCACCTATGTACAAGCCGATAAGGAACTAAGATAAAGAAATAGAATAAATCTGGATAGGATTTGAGAAGACATTCATTTTCGCGATTCGAAATTAATCGCGATGGTAAGAAACGTAACCAGAACATCGATAAGGAAATGATCCTATAAAACCCAGCTTTGATCGACGCATTCCCGCGAGAAGTGGTAACTCCGTCGTTACGAAAGCGTCGCTTCGCGAAACGTCCACCGAATTGGAAATAGGAAGAGAGATGTCGCCGATGGAGATCAATGACTCGCAGCAGGTAACAACGTAACGACGCCGAGTGTCGATTCGTCGATCAGACACCCGTGAAAAAAGAAGAAGAACCGTTTTTAATTCGACCGCTGCATGAGAAATACATATCGCGTTCGCTACACGTGTCACGTTTCGTGCACGGCGACGAATATTTTTCTCACGAATGAAAGATACGATACAATTATTAGCAGACAATGCGGCTTCGAATATGCGACGTCTATGAAAGAAGCATTGTTTCAAAGAACACCTCTTAAATAATGTGTTTCTTTAATAATCACGTTATAATATAAGACGTAACATCCCACGGTCGATTGTTTGTTAATCGGACGCTCGTATCGAGTAATCCGAACAAACGAATCCTTGCGATACCAAAAAGGAGATAGTAACGTATGGGAAATATGGGTCGGTATAAAAAAATCAATTCAACTTTAATTTCTCGAATGATAACCTCAAAACTCTGTCGGTAATTTTCCGTCGGTAGTTATTCGAAGGTCATCGAACCTTCATCGAAACGTTCCATGGAACGCGCAAATTTCCCTCGCGTTTTACCTCGGCCACTGTTCCCTGAGGTGTGAAAACGCATCGAAACGGTGGCGTTTCACGGGAGAACAATGCACGAGGCGCGTTTAGTGGCGAAATGGGATCCCGTTCGCCGGAGATGCTCGTCACTTTTCATGAAAGTGGTCGTCGAAAAATCGCGCGAGAGAGTTTGAAATGTTTTCCAACGGTGCGCGACGATTGCGCCGCCACTCGAGAGGAGAAGAAGGAGAAAGGGAAGAGGCGGTTTCGCGAAGTGGTACTGCTTCGCACGACGCACACCTGCAGCGGTCGTAGTGTTATTGTCGAATTTTTCTCATGCCAGGGATATTTTCGTGTGTGGAGAACGCTCGAGCCGCTTAGACCGCGCCGTCTAAAACCAGTTACTGAACCGAACAAAATACGACGCGATTTGTATACATGAAAATACGTAGATTGGCTCCGAGTTGATTGCGATTCTGGGAGGGAATCGACGCGAACCAAGAGTTATTTCACAATGAATTTCGAGCCAAGTTTAGTTGAGAATTATCTAGAGTTTTATCTAGAATTTTATCTAGAATTAACTGTCCTCGAGTATGTAGCAACGTTTGGCTCATTCGATAAAGCGACTCGAGTTCCTTTACGGTTCGATTATTTTTCCAGCAATGTATCGGAGTGTTTTGGCTTCGACGACAGCCATGTTACGGTACTCGACATACCGATGTGTTCCACTGAGCACGGACCTCTCTATTGTGTGCGTCCACATGCAAAGCGACTTTATCCCTTACCACCTTCTTTCCGATCTACCTACGTACGTAAGGTACGCGAGTACCTCGAACGCACGCCGAGCTTCGCTTCTGAATTATTCAACGCGCGTCACCTTGAGCGACGAACAGCAAGCGTAGGCTGAGCTCAGCATCTGTCTTTTCTTTCCCTTTCGTAGACCACGCGCGGACAAATTCGTGATGTCTTTGACGATGACTTAGGGTACTCGCAACGATGCGCCGCGGAGAATATGAATTTCTAGCGTCGATCGTGCAAGCTATTCCAGTATCCGTTGTGCTTAAGGCTAGGTCTGGGTTAGGATCGTCGATAAGCTTTGATATTATTTTATTTCTGACGATGTTTACTCGTCTCGCAATTTTTAGTTCTTCGTAAAACGTTGCATTCTATCGTTTGTATACGATCCGCTGAACTAGTCAATTAACGAAACGGGGGCGTTTCCGTGTAGCGTGCACCGAACGCTCATGTTTTCAACGAATTGAACACGTGCCATAGAGTGCCATAATTATACGTGCGGGGCACGCGACATATGTCGTGCGTTTTGCAATCTTAACGCGGAAAGAATTAAGTAACTTCGAGTTTGACCCAGTTCCGGTTGAATTCTTTCGGTGCAAAACTGAAATTTTCGTAACTTGTACATAGAAACGATGAGAAGAGGTTGATCGAAGAATGAACGCGGAAATTCATACAGTCGAGGCATACAGTTCACCTGAAGGCGAAATATTTGATGGAGTGGAAGGTAATGTCATTTCTCCGTATCTCGATACTTATTTATCATTAATCTGCTCATTGATTCTTATCGATCTTGCATCGAAAATTTTGCACGCCAGATGGAAAAGGGCTATTGATAACGAGGGTGATTACATAATTGCTTGAAAATAGAGAGTATATTATTCGGATTTAGTTTAAAAGAAATGACATTACTTTTCGGTCCCTCTGATAATAATACATTGTAGAATGATTTTTTATTCAGCACCAAGAAACGTAAAAAGTACCAACACTGGTTATTGGAAACGTCAATCGCGTTTTCTGTGCTAATTTGAAGAAGCTTGCGCGTGTGTGCGCTGAAACTACCGACCGGTTTCGCTAGAACGGTTTCGCAGCTTTCCTTTTTTTACCACGTGGCTAACAAAATTCACTAACGAATTCAATTATCGTTCGAGTAAAAGTGGCGTCGAACGCGGAAAAGTGAAGGAGAATTAACGAGTTGCGAAACACGGTAATCCGTTTACTTTCCAGATCGAATTATATTCATTAATTGAACGCCAAAAAGAATTCCTTTACTCGTCGATATTAAACAACGTTAGCGCGCCGTGGAATAAAAAAAATGTCTACTTACTCGGTGAGGGTAAGCCAAATGCCACGTGACGTTGAAGTCGCTCCCAGATAGTAAAGTAGTCTTGACATCGCCTGAGACATAAAATACACATACATTATGCAACGTTGCGCATCTACGGGAATACTCTATTACATGCGATAGATTGCTTCGAGAAACGGAAACTTACAATTTCTCAGACTCATCGATTTAGACGAGGGTTTTTATAAACAATGAGACGTTAATATTCGTTACGATAACGAGTCACGATAATTTGTAACAATTGCCGGAAACATGCTTTAAATGCAAGTTCACTCGGGCCTCGTGTACGGGTTCTCTCACCAGTATTCGTTCGGAGTATTGAAACCGAGTTAGAATAATGGACATCGTTTTTCTGATAGTATATTATCATTCTTTTTTTTTTTTTCTTTTGTTTATCATATTTATATAATACATTAATATTAATGAGATACTTATCTAGATACGTTCTCCACGCGATGAATACGCGCACGATGCGGAATACCTCATCTTTGTAAATTCAATTTTCGCATCGAACGATCGCGGAAATCGATTACAGGGAAACGACGCGGAATCGTCGTGAACTAAAAAAACGCATCGATGCGGTTATGCTTTTAGTATCACGAATTGCATCGGGTCGTTACGAACACGAATTTCTACGTAATCCAAAAGGGAGCGGTGATGAGGGGGCTAGGCATCCCCGATTCGCCAATGGAGGGGCGAAGATAAGGATCTACAGCGGTGTTTAACGTATCTGGACGGGGTTCCGGAAGCAATCAAGATTGGCACGGAGTACAATTAATTTCCGGAAGTGGCCGACGGCAGTGCGCGTTCCGCGACCGATCCTGCCTTTTAAGGACGTCTTCCCCCCTTTTCCCTGCGCACCTCCTCCCCGCGCACCTGACTGAAAAGAAAGCAAGCGTTCCCTCGCCATGAAACGGTCGAGGTGGCAACATTTTTTACTTTTTGTTTTAGACGACACGGGGGCGAGCCGACTCTACGCATCGCGCATATCACGAGAATGGTTTATGTCCTGTCGTGTTTAAGGTTCTTGGTAGTGGTAGACTGGTGATATATGGCAAGGTATGGTGAACAGGGAAATTAAGAAGTGGCGAGCAGTTAATAGGTGGTAGGTTTTATTCTTTGATCGTTTCACGGTACAATGCACCTCGTGGATACGTAACGACATAAATTTCATACATTTCGCGCATTCCACCGGGGTACTCGTACATACGGTTACGTAGACGGTCCCGTTAATTTCAATTTCGCGAAAATCGACTGGCGCCTACGCCATCTGGCGATGGCTATACGAAGCGTTGAAATATTTACGCCGCGCACCGTATACTTGCAAGTAATACTACGAGTAGAAACTGTCGATTTATAGTAAGCTACACCCTTGAATCTAAACCTGACAAAAAGATTGACTATCAAAACGCCGGTTACGTTTAGCATTCGCTACAAGCACGGGTATCGATGCGATTGTTACGTTTATTCAAATTCCCAAGTCTGTTGCATTTTAAGCATCTTACAGCGATTCGTTGTCACTTGTTATTGAGACAAGCCTTTGTCCGTGAAAAATGTAGATTCGTTAAAAATGATCGTTCATTCGTAATTCGTGCCCAGATAAGAAATTTGCCTATCCGCGTTGAAGGGATCGCGAGCAACTTCTGTGACTCACTGTGTATACGTGCGCAGCGTGAAGGTAAGAAACGTGGAAGGTAATGCCCGGGCACCGAGGTTCGAGTTCCCTTCGCACGAGTCGTGGTGAAAGTCGCTTCGAATCAGACTAGCGGGCTATCCCCACCGGGACGTGTCTTCGCGTTAATGTCGTTTTCCCATAGAAATCCCCGGTGTTGCCTCTCCCTCTATCCCCCACAGCGATCGACTAACGACGCTATCCACAGGACGACCGCGAAAATTCCGCCGTAGCTTCCGGTCCATGCTCGCGTTCCGTTCCGCGGATCGTGTAACGAGCCAACAGCGTCCGGGAGATACTCGCACCGTTGGCAGGTAACACTATCGAACGGGATTCGCCGTTGTTTTTCTACACATGCCAGAGACGCGACATCTCGAGTCTCGAGTTTCACCGGTTTGTTCTTCTGTGAGACGCGGTGGTGTTTTCAGTTTGTCTGTGGAGAACTGGTCCGTTTGGAAGGATGGAAGAGGGGGAGGAGCGCTGAACGGACTCGACGCTATGTGTTTATTTACCTTGCGCTCCTTCGACCGCTGCGAAGGAATCGTGTAGGAATCGATCGTTTCACAGTAGAAACTACACGCGTGTTTTCTCTTGGACAGGCATTTCGACGGATTCTAGAGCAGTGTCTCTCAAACGTCAGCTACCCGCAGGTGACGAAAGGAGTGTATAGAAATAGGTATAGAAATTACTCGTACACGGTCCGTCTAAAAAGAAACCGAACTTTTGCTATGAAAAGAAACAAGTACAAGTAAAGTTTTTACGCACACGTTTATTTACTCAAAATAATCTGCGTGTAGACCGCGTAATTAACATTTCGAAGGACCTTTACAGCTCCTGTTTTGGTAGCCCGTTTAGTATGGCGGTTACAGCGGTCTGAATCTCCGAAATGTTGCTATGATGTGTCCCTTTCATTGGAATTGACATTTTTACCTTGGATCATTCGTCCTACTCGCCTGATCTGTCTCCCTGCGATTATTTTCTTTTCCCAAAATTGAAAATTGAAAATTGAAAATTCCAATGAAAGGGACACATTACCAAAACAGGAGCTGCAAAGGTCCTTCGAAATGTTAATTACGCGGCCTATACGCTGTATTGACGCAGAGGGAGATTATTTCGAGTAAATAAACGTGTGTGTAAAAACTTTGTACTTTTTTCTTTGTATAGCAAAAGTTCGGTTTCTTTTTAAACAGACGGTGTATATATATATATATATATATATATGTCGATATTGTTATTTGGAAGATTATGTTTACCAAAATACTTTGTAGGAACTTCAAGGGCTGTTAAATACGCGTCGACTTTAGCGGGAGTTTACTGGTTTACGGACGAGTCCATGTCGGGAACAGCTTTTAGCGACGTAACCAAGGTAGATGGCAATATTCTGTTTACTCGTGCGGTACATTACGCGGCGTAATCATTTGTTTCAAAGATCTCTCTATGGCTTGCTAATGGATCATTAGCATAGCGGTTCACTTTGTTCGGTACTAACATCATTAGTGCGTCGTATCGCGAATGCAGTATCTTTATTAAAGGCTATTCCATTTCGAAGAGTACTAACAGCCTTCGAGTCTGTTCATCGCGCACTAATAATGAAATAATTCAGTCTCGCGACAGCGTGGCATTAACGAGGCCAAGGTTTTCGCAGGACAGGTATTTCTAAAAAGGAAAACTGTGTAACGTATCGCCGTTCGTATTAATCTCAAGTACGTTCGACATATTTTCATGTTTTCGTTTCAATCTCGGGACAGCAAAAGTATCCGTATCTTAATCATTTTATTAGGCGTAAAAAATCAATTCTGTGCCTGTCTAAGGTAAACTTACAATGCAACATTTCATTCAAGTGAGCATATTTCTATTTAAACTCGTGTTACAAGTAATTATGTAAATGCAAAGGCACAGAATCAATTTGTACACGTAACAATTCGGTTCATGCGGTTTCGAATAAAATACGAAAGCTCACCACGAGGCATTCCACACGGTCCAGGAGTCCTGGCGTTATCCAGGAAGTCCAAGTCGTACTTCCTCGCTCGCGGAAAAGTCAAGGCAACGTGTCCTTGCGCCTCCCGGTATATTACCGTCAACACCAACAATATCAGTCCCGACATGATCGTGGAACACGTTTTCGATGACATTTTCAAGCTCGAACGTGCTCGTGCGATCGTCCAATGTCGTCCACGCTCACAGGCTCGAGTCTTTCACTGAATTCCTCTGGCTCGTACCCTCTGAGAATTTTCCTCTCGCGCGCCTGAGACCCTCCTGTTGATTTTTCCTGACGCTCGGCATGGGCACCCCTCGTTGATTAACTCCTTCCGCCTCGGCGAGGCCAATCTGAAAAAAACGAGGAGATCCTTAGCTCGATTTACGACCCTTGCAACCGCACGGTTTTACTAACAACGGATAAACGCCGTGGATATTTTTATCTTCAAACTATAGAAAAGTATAGAAATTCCGTTTCTGAAGGGTCGGTGCTTCGTAAGCAAGTACCCGATTGCGTTGAAATAACATCAAAGTGGGAGAGTATCGTGAACGCCGAGAATAAATCGTTGTAGGATGTTTTCATCGTTCATTATTATTCAAATGAAATTCTGCCCATCCCTGTCGCAGAACGCGCGAACACCGACGCTATTCGAAAGTGGTGTCCGTAACCGAAGAGATACAGCGAAACTATACCAAGTCAAGGCCAATTTTCGATGCCCATGCAAACTCGTTCTTTGGTAACGCGACTGGTTAAGATTGCATAAATTATTACATCGTTTACAATCTTGCATAAATTTCCAAGAATTCCGGCGTTCAATTTTCGACGTTTAAAGCGAAACGTAAAAACGAAATTCGCGGAATGTCTCGACTCGTGCCCGATTAATTTCTTGCATTAATAACGTTCGAGCGCTAAGTGTATCCCATTCGCTTTTTGTTTGTTGCGTCGTCTTTACAACTTTAATTACGTATCTTACACACCTGACGAAAAATAGAATCATAACAAGCTAGCGATTCGTTCCGGACAAGCCAGTGGCAGCGCGTTTGTTTACTCGCGTAGTCGTGGCTGGAATGCCTTTGTCTCAAAGTCCACCAAAAAAAGATGCTATAATAACAAGGAGTAACCGCCAACGGGTATTCCAGATTGCAGCGCGTTAGCGAAACGTGTAATTTTCTCAAATGGACTTTTCAAGTTCTCGAGGTTTTGAAATACCAACGGACAAGACGCAGCAAAAACATATTCTATCGATCATCGTAGAGAACAACGGCGTGGTTGTCGGAAGGACGACGTCGTACAGGCAACGCGACTTCCTCCGTTTCTGGCTTCCCTCTCTAAGAGACGAGGACAAACGTACCGTCGCGAAACAAGGATCGACGATCGGGATGCGTAGAACACGAGAAGGTCTTCTACCCGCAACGTCGAACTACCAGCCGTGCCACTTGAAAAAATGATTACAGTATCGATAGAAAACGTAAGTTAAAATGTGGGAACGTTACGCAAGAAAATTGGTGAATCGGTCGTAACCATTGTGTCGCAAACTCGGACAGGTGATAAACACCTCGCTTAGAAATAGATAGAACAGAATGAGGATATAGATTAACGAAATACAAACTGTCAGGTTTCCGCATCCCATGGTAGTTATTCAAAATAATGTTCCCCATTTTGCCAATTACAGCAACTCTATACATTCGATACATTTCCATATTAGTCGATCAATTTCTACACGAGGTGGCTATCACCTGTTCAAAGGTTGCGACACGACAGTTATGTAAGACGGATTCCTTAGATTTTCAACTCGATCTTGCGCAATATTCCTTACTTTACTTTCTTGAAATTCTATGTTACTGTTAAGCCGGGGGGGGGGGGTGGCACATCGAGGAGTAGACATTTTCTTTAATAATCAACACATCTTTTATAAAAGAACCAAGAACTCGGAACGTTTATTAACAATAACAAGAACTCGATCAATAAACACGTCTGTTCGATAACAAGTCTGGCGACGTTCTGTCAATTCAAAAGTTGCCGGTTCTCTCGGTAACCGGAACATCCCGACGATCCGCTTCCACTCGCTCTTCAGATTAGGCATGGTGGACGCAGAAGGCGCGAAAGACGAAACCGGAGATACCGAAAGGAAACCGAGTCGTTGAAATTAGTAGCAATCGCGAAGAGGAAACTTTGAGCCAGGAACAATTGTCGAATTAGGTATACAGAGGTTGTGGGATGAAACGATTGCATCTCAGACGCGAATAAGTGAAATTGCGAGGAGTGCAATTTGTTCGGACAACATCTATTAGATTATCCCGAAAGTTTCTTTCGCGAGTTGCACTCAATTATTTTATGTGGTCGTGTTTATATAGACAATCTAATTTCATAGATATTCACGTTGTAACAGTAACGGAGCAAAGTGAATCGCGCACGATTCAGTAATGTAACATAAAACATAAAATATTGTGCATGTGTTACTTATTAACACGTTGATCGCCACGTCAGCCATATATGAACTTAAGAACTAGAAAGATTAATTCTGAAAGTTAGACGTCACACGAGATGAATCTAAACGAAGTTCTTGAATTTTGATGTAATTACAAAACTAAGGCTCCGATAGTCTAAACAATATTTAATATCTTAGCAGAAATGTTCAAGAATATTCGTTTTGCAGACAACGTGTTAATAAAGCGAAAGAAACTTTTGGGACAACCCAATCATAAAGCTTTTAACTAGGTGACGACGGTAAGACCACGTGTAGAGGTCGATGCGAGCGCATGAAAAAAAGTAGGAGTACATATTCCGATTTACAAGGTTGAGTCGTAGTCTTCCCGAATGTATCCGATTTTAAAATACGTAACACGGCCGAGAACCGGATAGCGTATAAGTTATGAACAGAACGACACGCGACCGTAGAATTCTGCCTGTTAAATCGAGGTCTTGCGGTACTTATTTCCGAAGACGACCCAAAAGCAGAAGGTTAAAAGCGTCGAACCGTGACATTAACTCGTTGAAAAGTACTATAACTTCAATGTACTGTAGTTTATTATTATACGTAGCAAATATGGTGTCGTTCTGTTACTATACTCGTCCATTATCAATCTTTGCGTAATCTGTACCGCGAGGTTAGAAAGGTTAGGAACCCAGTGCCTTGGGGCGCGCAGCGTTCCAGTTACAAAAGATAGAGTCGAAACACCAATGGCGAAGGGATTAAGGATCCGACGACGTTCCACGGGGCGCGTGTGAGTCTATGAAAATTAATATATTCACGAACGGGTTGCGACAACATTTCCACGCAAAGGTTGCGACACACGGTAGCGGATCTCCTTCTGAGGAATCTCAACGCGGCCTCAAGGATGGCCTCAGCCTGGCCTCATCGACGAGGTATACGCAGCGCCTATATGCTTGGCGCAATTCACTCGTCGAGATGTGCGGCCTCTAGTGGGAGTATTGAACCAACGGCAGGGGGGGGGGGGGGTCGGGGGAGGAAGCGAAGCTGCAACGCGCGTACAGGGTATTTTTTCCACGCCCCGTGGAAACCTGACATTCTGCAGAATCTCGATCCTGCCGATTTCCAGCGACACGCTCTTCCATTTGTTCTCAAACGACCCCGACGATCGTTACGAAATCGCCGACGTACTCGCAGCGTTTGCGATTTTAGCACGCGATACATGGATCGTTTGGTACGTTCGCGGCGTTCACGAATTCCAGCGTTCGCGAAAATAAACGTTATCTCATCGGAGAGCGATTTTTAGCTTTCTACGGTTTTCGATCGCGACGAGGCATTCCGAGAGGTCCGCCGCATTGATTCGCACATTTCGTTCGTCTTTTCGTAAACATGGAAGGTCGTCCCCCTTATGGACGTGAAGGTCGACCCTGGGTAGTATCATCAACGTTCTCAACCGGATAAAAAGTTCCGAGAAACGAATAAACTTTAATTCCACTTCGACCCGATCTTCTTAGGGAAACATTTAATATAGAAATTATTATTCTTTAACACGTTCACGTCGACGTGTACCACCGGTGGCTCGCGAACAGATGATGCGTATCACAGCGCCGTCCCATGACGAGAAACCAAGACAGGCAACGACGCCGTGAATGTGTTACGGGGTTAGTCGCAGTCAGGAAAATGAAAACGGACATTTTCTTGTGTGTGTGTGTGTGTGTGTTTTTTTTTAAGGCATTAAATAATAATTTTTAATAATGAAATGTATCGGGTTGTCCGGAAAGTTCATGGCTATTTTCAAGAAAAATTCAAAGGCATATTCGAATTTTGATGTATATTTATTGAATTATATGTGTACCATTTTGTACCACAACCATTCCACCTGTTAAGGAATGTACACATTTTATTTGTTTTCATCCAATCCGATATACATATGCAGACCTGTACCGCCTACTAAAAA